GCGCCCCCGGTCTCCGAGGCGGCGGGGAGGACCGGGCGCGGGGGCTGGAGGGCCCCACCCAGCGCCTCTCGCCTGCCGCTCGACCGAGATTGGGGAGCCGGCCCTGGGTGAGGTGGCAGGCGGACGCCGCAGGGCGTGTCCCGGGGCCGGGGAGCGGAGACGGGGCCTCTGCTCGGCCTCGTGGGAAGGTGCTGCCTGCGAGGTGGACCCGGCGTCCATACCTGCCCGGCCCCAGGCTAGCCGAGAGGTGTGGCCCTGGTCAAGTCACTTCAGCTTTCGTGGGCTTAGTTCCCTCGTCAGGATTTCAAAAAAAAAAAAAAAAACCCACCTCTGACTTCCTCATTTTCTGTTGCTGTCCCTAGGACATCATTGGACCAGGCGGCATAGTTACCAAAGGCGAGTCCTTTGGAGTCTTGAGGTTTTCGGTTTTATGTTCTGGGACTAATGTTCTGTTTTTAGGATAATTTCACTCAACAGTTATCTGTGAGGTCTTGTGTCACGTTTGTGAAATTAAACATGAGTAAGACTAGGCCCTGCCTTCAAAGAACGTTTTCATTAGAGAGACAAACAGGCGTACAACCTATTGCTAATAAGGTGTAGTGAAGATAAAAGATGCAGTGAACTAACTAGGCATAAACAGTACCCTGAGTGGGGGGGAGGAGCGTGGGGAAGGCAGGAGGAACACAGGGAGTGACGTTCTGACGGAGCCTGTCTTCAAGGATGCTGTGTAAAGTTTGACAGGGCAGGGTGGGCCAAGAGACATGACGAAGAGAGAAGAGCATAAACTCTTCTAAGGCATTGAAGAGTGGAATGGTGCTGTGTGTGACAGGAACTGAGTGGTGTGGAGTGCACAGTGGTGGGAGGAAGAACAGGGAGAGGGAGGAGAGTTTCCAAAAATAGTTGGCGCTAAATTGGGAAAGGCCTTGAATGCCATCCCAAGGAGTTAGGAATTTATTCCATACGTTGGTGCTCATGAAGGAGGCAGATTGCAGAGGTTAAGCTCACAGGCTTTTGAGACACTGCCTGGGTTTGGATCCAGGCCCCATCATTTATTAGCTGTGGGGCTAAGATCACCCAGCCTCAGTTTTCTCATCTATAAAATGAGAGTGACAGTCACAGGCTAGTGAGGCTTCAATGAGAGAATGCATGTAAACTGCTTAGCCTAATTACTGCCACTTAGTTCTTAATGACTGCTGGCTTTGGTTGTTAATAAAAGAGGGAGATACCATGATCAGCTCTGTACTTAGAGCTAGTCTGGCAGATAGATGAGGACAAATTTGGGCCAAAATCTCAAGTCAGTATTTTTCAAGTTACACTGAATTTTGGTACATGTTCATATTACCATACTTTTTAAAAAAGGGTAAGATGAGTATAGTTGAAACCCCGTAATTCCTGTTTTAGGACAGTCATTGTTGTACACCTGGCTACCCACACATCCACAGGTTACCCTGACTCTCTAGGTGACTAGCAGGAATTTGATGCTGTGGCATTCTTTTATCGCTTGGGAAGGTTACAGATTCTTATGTTTACATTCTTTCTTTCATGTTTTAGCTGTCCTGGATAATGAGAGACTCACGGCAGAGGAGATGGATGAAAGGAGACGTCAGAATGTGGCTTATGAGTACCTTTGTCATTTGGAAGAAGCAAAGAGGTAAAGATTGGCTGGCTGGAGAGAAGACTGGGAGAAGGGAGCTGATATGGTGTGAACACAGATAAAGATCTCTTTGAATATGTTGTAGGTGTGACTGTGGGAGGCTGGTAGTTTGAAGGAATAAGTATAGTTAGGGTATTTATTCATGGGAGCAAGTAGCCTTGATAGCAGTTTATCATGAAACATTGATGGGCACTTACATATACTGAAAAATTTCCAGATTTGTGTTGTTCAGTTTCATGCTTATGATGCGTGTTTTGGGCACTGCCAGTTGTAGGGAAGAAATAGCGTTTTTAGTGTTTGAAATTCTTGGCCTTTATGTTTCACTGGTTTCTCACTGGTTTTGATTTATATATGAATTGGGTCCATTCTCCCCTGGGTAATGCTCTGAGTATAGGTCCTCTATTTGGCAATGTTAAAAGACGGTTTACCAAAGGCAGCATCCTCTGCATTCTTTGTGAAGTGAATGTACAGCTGCTGTTTCCCGATGCTCCCAGACCTTGTGGTCTTATTAGAGTGTCAATTTGCTATCAGTGGTTCATTTCTTTTGTTCTGGTGCTTGTGTTCCTTTGCAAGGTCCCAGGGTAGATAGATGTAATTACGGATCATTTATCCTATAAGTGAGCTTTGGTGGAAAAGGCCAGCAAGGGCTAATCAAGGGTATTGGTGATCAAAGTCTACTGAAAATCAAGGATGTTTCAAATGGTGCTAATAAACAAGAGTGTTTTTGTAATTCTGAAGATCTTAAAACGCTACGGGAAAGTCCAGAGAACAAAACAACAAACATCCATGTA